ACTTTGTCTGAAAACTTTGATTCTTTCTCATTTCGTGCGAGTAAAGTGATTTTGTTGGAGCAAACAAAGCTGGCGTTAAATGATACGATTATTTGATCACATGTAAGCCTAAATCAAAACGCCTGTTAAGTTTCTCAGAATTTTTTCAATGTCACCTACCTGCAATATGTTTTAACTCAATAATCTTTGTTCAGTTTTTGGTTGGACACAATCGCTTTCTGGCTATCGCGAAGATTTCAGTCTGGTCCGTTCCATAAACTAAGGACCCTAAGCTCACTGTGTCAGCCTACTACAAAAAGTCAAACAACGTCAATTTCAAGAGTCCCAAAAGGCTGGTCGCCAAACTCTACATGCCGCAAAGAGAATGCTAGTTGAATTGCGTCAGCCTATCAACCTTTTTGCAAGTGAGCAGATCGAACCTACAAGCATCTCACCAAGGTTCTCACAGATCTTTCAAAAGTGAGTGGCGATTCCACTGCTTGGCCAAGCTTCATTGATCAGTTTCGATCAACTGTCCATGAAAATGAGAAGCTGTCTACGGTTCAGAAAGTCATGTGTCTCAGAGTTAATTGACGAGCCATGCTTTTAAACTCACTGTGATCTTGGAGACGACAGAAAGCTTCTGCTAGTCAGCGTCATACATGTGTGTGCAGGTACACAAAAATGATCGACTTATCATTCGGAAGCTCTTTGTCAATGAGTCACTTTCTCACTGCAGCTCAAATGGATACCGTTTCTCAGTTTCGTCAGCTATACTCAATCATAAATTCGACTTCGCAATCGATCAAGACACTCAGTTGAAAGACCAGTTGAAAACGAGTTATGGCTTTTCTACTTCGAGGTTCTGGGTCCTGGGATTGTGTCAAGCTCGTGACTATGTTCCTCTGATGGTATTCTTAGACAACCTAGTCAGTTCTTTGGAGGTTCGATGATTTCATGCTAGACCTCACTGAACTGAGCGTGAGCTGCACATAATCTTGACAAAAAAGAACTTATGTCAGAAGAAAGGCCCTTCGTTGCCCAATGTAAAGTTCTAATATGCTCTGACAAACATCTGATTTGGCAAATTGAAAAAAAGAGAGATTGTTTGCACCATCAGAACGAAAGATTTTTACAATAAGAAGTGCTTCAAATTTTTTGTTAGCAACGGAAGCCAGTAATTTCCTTCAGCATCCCTGTGAAAGACATATCAAAAGAAGCATCAAACAAATCTTCATGGCTGTTCTATGTAATCAACTCCTCATCTAACTGCGACAACAAATGTTCTTCAATCAGCTGAACTTCAATTATCACAATTCTTCCGCAGTAGTCTATGTTGAGTTTTTCCGTGAACTTCAGTCATCACAGCGAAGGTCAAATTTCGATCTCCGAACGGTCGAGCTCATCACTTGAGGGTGCATAATGATAATTGCGCTCAGCTGAATTTGATAACCCTACAGCCATGCATCGTCTCAGTATCTAACCAGTAGAAACTCCAGAGCGCATATCTGGAGTGAATCGGAAAAACGCTATTTCTACTTATGGTGGAATCATTTTAACATTTTTTTTATCAAGCCAGCCAAATTCTTGACCATTGACTTCGAAGCGATATCGATCGCTGCCGAAAATTTCCAAAGGTGACCAATTCAGCCTATTAAAGGACATGAAAACAGTAACTTTGGGGAATCGGGGCTTGGTGTATTGTGACCATGCAGATATTCAATGAGTCGCCTGGACAAGAATCAAAACAAGTTGAGAAAAAGTTCTCACTAGCTTCCAAATGAAATTCTGGTCAACTCTTTTTTTTTCAGTTTCGAGAAATCTTTTAGCTCAAAAGCGGCTAATTTTGAGCAAATATTTCCAACTGTTACAAATCCAACTGAAAAATCATGACAAAAACTAGGTCCCAATTAGGATTTATCTTTAGGGTTATTAGGAGTTTTTTTAGGATTATTTTTTTAGAACAATCAGGCTGATTCCACACAAGACAGTAAAAATTTCAAAAATCAACCAATGAAAAGAACCAAAACGTGTTGCAATTTTTTCCGATCGGTTTTACGAACGAAAAAGATTAACTTTCTCTCAAACTTGTTCAATTCCTCTGTCACGCTAGAGCGCAAAAAAACGGAAACAATTTTAGAAGTTCTTCTAAATTGATTGAAACCAACTCAGTAAATGCGCCCGAAAATAATCGATCACGTACGATCACTTCTCGGTTGATAGAGAGCAACTTAAACGAGTTTCGATCCCTTTACCAGTAAAACCTGTAACAAAAATGCCAAATATTCTTCCAAAAAATGGGATGGAGGTTCGTAATGAGATGACAATAAAGAATTCCCAACATTGGGTAGACCGCTCGAGTCTTTTGTTTTCCATAGAAACGCCTCGGTACTTGGCCATGGATACCTCTCGGCTTGTCGACTTTCATCATTTGTGCGATGCATTGGAGATGGCGTTTGAAGCCACTATGAATGACTAGACAACCTAAGAAGCTGAAACCCACGTTTATTTGTTAGCCTCTAAGTCAGGACTAGCACCGAGGAAGATATTTTGCATTCCCTGACTTGATGTTTCCTTGGATCTGGGCTGTTAAATCCTGAGATGTGTTTTGAAGTTGCTGCAACAATAGCACTTGCTTGGAACAGATCAACTCTTATTGTTTTGACCAACCGCATCGCTTAATTTCAACAGATGATTCCAGCCCACAAGTGGCAACACGTTCCTACTCATCGAAACAGCCGATATTTAACTCGACCAAAAACTGCAGCTGAAATGCAAAGCTTGCAGATTCTATGATCAGGACCCAATTAGTTGCAGACAAATCAAATTTGTTTTCCATCATAATCTACAATTATTGAAGCAAATTAACAGACGAACGAGTTCAAACGGTCAATCGACGAAATCACCTTGTCATTCGGCCAGCTAGTTGAGATAAAAACATGCAAGCAGCAAAAACAACAAGGACTGAAACTTTGGTGGTCTTTTTGTACAACTTTGCGCAACGGGAAAGTTTCATTGTGATCGGAATCAGCTTCGAAAACTAGGACCAAACCTTCTTGTACGAGACTTTCAAGAGCAGCATTTCGACGAAAAATGATCTAAATCATTTTCTTCAGCTATATCCATTCATGCATCAAGACTTCTTCAGCTATATCCGTTCAGATGGGTTGCTAAAAATTGGCTGATCACTCGCATCAAATGATTACCTTAACGAGAACATTTAGATGGTTTTGGCTCCGCACTCTACGATAGAAAGCCTCCCTGATCATGTTCGAGGCCTAATAGGACACCTTTACCGGCAAGGGCAACATGTTTCGGAGGTATATGGGAAGCTGCTGTTAAGTCAATTAATCTTCATATCAGAAAACGAAAGACAAGTTAATTGGATAGGGTGTACACTGATTTGTCACATACAAACTAGGCTCAAATCAAGGCCAATAACAGAAATTTCGGTTGATGCTGAAGAAGCTGTGCAGCTCACTCCATTGATGATTTTACAGTGTTTCAAGTCTAGTCAATTGCCCATTGTAGCTGATCCTCCCACTAATCAGCCAAATGAACATGAAAAGTTACCCCCAAAATAATTCAACTAACAGCACAAATTGATTGCAGAGATCTGGAAAAATTGTACTTTCGAGTATCTAACCGCTATGAAATAAAGAATTTAGAACCTTGTAGATAACAAAAACTTGTAAAAAGCAGATCTATCGACGACACTCACAGCTCCTTCACCAGTTTCTACCACACTAGCTACTTTCCCGCATCAACCCCTTCAGCATCACAAACACCCGCCTTCTGGAAATAAAAAAGAATTGGTTAAAGATCAATGGGAAGGCAATGTTGGAGTGAACCAAGCATTTTTTCATCTATACGATTATTCAATGATACGGTTATAATACCTTAGTTCTTTTTTTTTCTTTACCCACAGTTTCTAAATCATCTCTAATTCATTTCTGGTTTGAAAGAGTCGTTCTCCAGCTACCTCAGTATCTTTGCTGCGTTTTTAGCACTATCATTTTTGATATAAATTAAACCACTGTGCAAAAACAATAAGAAAAAAATTTCGATGTTTAATTGTTTTTTTTTTGCTTCTAAATCAATTTCTAAATCAACTTCTGTCAAATATGCCCAGTTAGATAATATTTTTAACCCAATTTAATATTTTTTCTGCAACATTACTTACAAAAAAAACGAGTATTTTGAGGATGAAATAGAATTGTTTTTTTCTTCTATACTTTTCTTGAAGGTTGTCGGATCGGACCATTCTGTACTACTTGCACAGCAACCAGCTATCATTGTTAACTTTCTTGTTTGGTTTTTTAAGTGAGAAGCTGTTGTGTTATCAGCTGGTGGGATTCCGAAGACGATGAATATCTCATTGCCCTCAGGCGACGAAGACTAGACACCAACCAGCCTCAAACGTCATCAGGAGTAACAAAACACGACCTAGAGTTCAAACCCAATGGCAAAAAATCCACGTTTGACCTTGAAAACAACATACACCTGACTTTAAACCAAAAAGTCATAGATTTGATCGTGATAGACGATGACAATTAAGAGGACGAAAAGAATTCTTTGGACTCGAACGGAAGCATTCTAAATGGAAACAATCGGTTACAACGTAATCCAGTGGCAATGCTTCAACCAATGATTTTGCTAGTTTGCCAGCTCATGTCTTTAAGTACGAAACAATTTACAAAACTAGTAGCCGACGCGCCAAATTGAACAGAAATTAAATATGAAATGGAACGCAAAAAGATTCAGTTGCATCAGGAAGTTGGTTTGAATCCCTTTATTTCTCTGCCATTTGTTTTTTTTCTCTAACGATTTTGTTCCAGTATCTCAATAGCATAACACATAACTTTCAGAGATATTGAATCATTTTTTAACTATTTCAGTCAATAATTTGTTATGTTTCGCCCAGTAGATGGTAATTTATTTCAATAATAGTATCATGACCGAATAGCCTCTGAAAGATGTTTGTCGTGTTTAGCTGCAGCAGTTGAAAAGAGACACTACTGACGAGCTCACTAAGTTTCCCAAACACAAAAGTCACCTCAGAGACACAAGATTGGTAGGTATTGACTAATGCGGAGCCTGTTTATCGAGGATAATTTTCCTGATCTTTTTTACCCCCAAAAACATTCAATGTTTTACATTTTAGGGAATTGTTTATGCAATAAAATTTAAGAGCCCGTTATTAACGATGTAAATCTTGAAAAACATGTGTACTTAATATGCTTACTGGGAAAAATTTGTTGACATTAAGAAAACTGAGTTAGTTTTTCAAAATTGGGATTTAATTGTGTGCGCTTCGAAGTGGAAGGGAGCTTTAGAGGTCCTTTTGGCTTTTTTGAAATTTTGTAGGTGAAGTTAGCTTAGCCTATGATCTAAAAACACAAACTCCCATTTTTTTGATTTAGCGGCAAGCAACATTGCTCAAACAGTGAATTCAAGGCTTTTCTCTTCTTTTTAACCAAACTTGCAGTTAATCATCTGAGAATTCCGAATTTCATCTGTTGATAGCTTGTTTTAAATGTAGAAGCGATTCAATTTTATGCTAATTACAGTCTGTTTTGATCCGATCGTTAATCGTCAATCACTATCATAAACCGGTATTCACACATTTCGCCTCTCATAAATTCTAGAAAAATAAAGTTGGGAGGTCAGCCTGGTACTCACACATTCCGTCCCTTAAATGTAATTTAAAAAGCGGCGTTAAATAACTGTGTAAAAAGTTAGGGGCGAAACGTGCAAGAACGAAAGGTTTGAAACTATTAGGAGAGAATGAAGAGGTGCGAAACGTGGGACACTCTCATAAAACATATATCGTTGACATCAAATCCAATCTTTTAAAATTTGGCTATGTCTCCATGTTTTATACATTGATTATTAGGTTTATACGCAGACAGGTATCTAAGTCGCTAATGAAGAAATTAATTTCAGTGATCTATAAAATTTTGGGAGGAGGAGCAATTTTGGGTTGTATATTTCAGTGCAAGCGCCTTTTTGAAATCCTGCAACGTCAGCAGAAAACAAAAAAATGGGCGCACTGGGATAAGTGATCTGGAACTACTGGCTGCAATCATGAGAACTAAGACTGCAGAGCAGGTTGAACAGTTTCTTTCAGAGGCCAGAATCAAGTTTAGACTGGATGATTTGTTGGATAAGGAAAAATTGGAAAGATATGCATCTGGCCTGGTTAGTATTTGGAACTTGAAGTTATGCATATCTTTTTAAAAATGATTTGTGTTTTGCTATTCTTAAAAATGAGCCATGTTAATTATTGGCGGGTGGTGTTAATTTGCAAGAACTTTTTTTTGTGGAAAACCTCAAACAATGTTGCTTTATTTGCTTTTATGCGGTTTGACTAGATTTTAAAAAGTGTCAATGAACGAAGTGAAGACACTTATATAGGTTGTGAATTTTTTTAAGTTCAATTCCAATTCATTCAATTGCCTAAAGGAAGACAAATATCCCTCTCCGATTTTGAAAGCGCAATTTGCTAGAAAAACTGGTGGACTTCTAGTTTCGAAAGGGGATTTAAAGGAGCTAAAATCCTAATTGGGCTAATTATTGGGCTAATCTCTAATTAATAGATAGATTTTTGGTAGGAGATAGTATTTCTGACGAGATTGTATTCCTGGTCATAACTTATACACATTGAACATCATAAAATACAAAATTATAAAGTTTCTGCAATCTTTTTTTTTCGAAATTTACCCTTGCGATATGCAAGGTTTTAGCAATTGGTTACTTGATTTTTTTCCCGTAAATATCTTTGTTCACGCATTGAGCAAATTAGAAGACAATTCAAAATGTTTAATGTTTTAATAAAAACACCACTAGCTTACATGTACTGATTTTTTTTTTGGAGTATTTTTCTGTTTATGGGTTGTCGGCCTTAATTCTGTTGCCTGATTTACCTGATTTTTTTATTTATTAGATTCTATTGTTTTTTCTCGTGTTAAACGTTTTTTTTTGGTAGTAATGTTTTCGGCTTGTTATATCGAAATATTTGATTAAATTAACGTCGTTTGAGCGTCGCAAGTAGGTGTGTTTTGTGTGCGTAATTGTGGGAGGACGTAAAATTGAAATTTCCATAAATCTATCTTTAAAATTGACTTTTTTCCAGTTCAATGGGCGTCTTGTTTTAGACTTTTTCCCGTCTCAGCGGGCGTCTAGCGAAACTGTTTCTGCGTGGTAGCCTTTCGATGAATGTTTTGTTTTTGCTTTTTTAATACTAGCAAACATGTTTCGCGACAAGTTGTCCTCGAAGCGAGACATAAGACAATTTTAGGATGGTTTATTGCATTTTTTTTTCGACTTGTGGCTTTCGGCTAGCTCTGCAATTTTTCGTTTTCTTTCCACTCGTGTTCAATGGTTCGAATCTCTGTTCTGCCCCTGTGCCTTTTTTCGACTGAATTTCGTTTTATTTTTTGTCTGCTAGCTTGCATTGCTATGTTTGTATGGTATCACAAGTTGAGTGTGGTATTTAATGGGTAACTTGAAATATTATCCACCACGTAAATCTGCTCCTGATGTTTTCTCAGACGTTTTAATTTATGAATGACTTTCCTTTTTAATGAAAGAAATTTTCATCAAGGTATTTTTCGTCGCTGTGAAACAATGCTACATGCTCTTTTTTGCTTTTTAAGCTTTAAGATCTCTTTTAAGAGCTAATGATACGTAGTGAATAAAAATGTGTTCATCTTAAATTTTTATTGAACTTGGTCAGCGGCGTGCGCAGAGTTTTTTCTAATGGTGGGGCGGTTTTGAAAGTTTTTTATTTCCCGAGCTCTCGGAAAAAAACTGTTTACCGAGCTTTGCATTCACTTTTCCGAGCATTTTGTTCACTCCACCCCCCCCCCAAATGGCATTTTGGCTCGCGCTCCTCGCTAAAAATGGGTTATATCGGCGCCAAAGGCTCCTACTTTGGCACACTACTGAACGGAGTGATCCACTGACATAGGTCGTGGTGATTTTTTGTCCTTTTTTTCAGCAAAATCATGCTTAACTTTGACTTTTCTCGGTTTGACTTTTATTTACTTTCTTTTGCAAATAGCTCCAATAAGTTGCAAAAACTTGAGCAGCGTTCACTGTTCCGGATTATTTTTAAAGGTCGCTAGCGTTACTCAGGCTCATTTAGATGAAAAAGCTGTTTCAAAATGGCTTCGTTCAAAGAGTTGCTAAATTATTCAAAACCAAGTTGAACAACAATTTTTTTTTGAAAAAAGTTTTCAACGAATCTAACTATGACTCTTTTATGCTTCGACTTGGTTTTGAGACAGAAATTCATTCCTGGGTCATGCTGATTTAACGGGCACTTCTGAATAAAGTATAATTAGTTTTTGTTCGCTGCTTTAGTTGCGGTTTTTCAACTGCGTTTTCTCTACTTTCAGCATCGTTAAAATCGATTCTGCAGTTTTTTTCTGCAAAGTATTCTTGTACATTGTAAGTTTTCTTTTTGAGTTATTTGCTTAAGACTAGCTCAAGCTTGTGTTTAAGTTACAGTAAAATTTATGGAACGTGTAGAAAAAAAATTCTGCCCCATTAATTTCAGAGTTCTTCCCTGATTCATATGTTTGATTGAACTGTATTAAAGATATTGTGAAGTTGGTTGGATTGTTTTGCTTCATAATATGAGTTTCAGTGACGTAAGTTTCATTTTTCATGTTGTTTCAGTCATGCGCAAGTTTTATCTCGAGTGTAGGAAACAGCAATGTACAATTAATTGATTCAAATCTTGCTAACAATGCAACCGCAGATCCTTCAGGTATCAATCAGCAACCATCAAGTGTAGCCAGGCAAAACTCACCCCCACCACCTTACGACTTCAGCGTCCGAAATGGAAGCAGCTTAACCGTGAATGGATACCACACGAGTGGACACAACTGGAGTATGTATGCTTGGAGATTGTTTCCATCAGGAAAACAGGTTTTTTGGCGTTTGAGACAACTTCTCCCTTATGGTTTTGGTATATCTAGGAGTAAGCTTAGGAAATTGTTGCTCTCTCAAGAGTTGAGAAGATTCGCCTACAGATAATGAAGAGTTTGAGGTTCCAACCTCTAAAACCCTCTAATTTTTTTGTTGCTTCTCTCCTCTGTTCAGAGATTGCACGCCTTATCGGCTAAGTTTAAACGCTAATTGAGCCTCATTTGAGTTTTCAAAAAATGTTTTCTTACAATTTCTATATATGGAAAAATGCTTGTCGTACATTTTCCATATATGAAAAAAGGCTTATCTTACAGTTTCCATATATATGATAAAATGCTTATCTTATATTTTCTATATATGAAATTGTTTATTCTACAATTTCCATATATGAAAAAATGTTTACCCTACAATTTCCATATATGAAAAAAGGCTTATCCTAGCGTTTTTGTACAATTTTCTGAGTCTATGAAATTGTAGGAAATTGTAGGATAAGCAATTTTGGTCAACCCGGGCTGCTGAGAAGTGTATACGCCAGTTACACGAAGATTTACACAAAACTTTGTAAATTTTGGCAATTTTTTCTGGTGTAAAAACAATCCGAGAAATGAAATGCTAACAGTTTTTAGCCATAATTGAAACTTATTTTTTTTTATATAATTTTAGTTGGAACTTAAGAAAAGTTATGTTTTTGATATAGGTGTACAAAATATGTGTGATATGCGTTTCTGATTTATGTCTGGGCAACTGTTATCGCTTGAATATTATTGATTTTAATGAGAAAAACTAATGACCAAAAATGGACCTAGTTTCATAGACAATATACCTACTCGTGAAGAGATCACTCTAAAAAAATGTTTAGTTTTGGCAAAATGATTGTTTTAATTGAAAATTGTGCTCAACTTTGTACACATCATACACTCTAAAGCATTTGATTTATAGGGGTTTGAATTGAAGACTTACCCTGCTCTGTTGTGGTCTATGTTTGTGAGCGTCATCGTTTTTCATGATGATGTAATGAGATGACATTGTAAATTGAACCCCCCTCCTTCCTCTAACTAGGATCGTGTGCGGATGACACATCATTACACCACAAACATTATCACGGATACCATGAAACAGAAGTTATAACCGTGACATTTTATAACTTGAAAGCGTCTTGCTATTACCTTGTGTACTACTATGCAATATGGGATGCTGATGAAAACGAATATTCAACTACAAACGAGCCAATTTTTTTCGAAACTGCTGGTGAGTCTGAGTAGATATGCGAGTTCTCTGAAACAAAGAGTTCGAAAAAACTGAGCCATTTTGACACTGTTCGAAACTAATCTAGGATAGATTAGATCAATCGGACCCACCTGACGTTGTAGAATTGGTGATTCTACTGTAATACATGCTATAGTAAACTGAGCGTAAGATTGATTCGTCATTAAGTTAATTAGTACAGCAAACAAAGGGTAAAGTTCGAAATACTTGAATGTTCGAAGATATAGTCCCTCTTACGGCAGAAAACTCAGGTGAAGTAAGATTTGCAAACCCCCCCCCCCCCCCCAATGGGAACTGCAGCGGCTAGGTTTATGAAACTCATAGGACGGATACTAGAGATGATTTGATCCGGGCATGCAAAAATCCAGACCCTTTGGAGCCCCTGGCCCCGAGTGATAACAGTTCCCGGAAGTGCAAATGGCCCTATCAGAACACGGTAACTAGCGGCCGGAATGGAACTAAAATGTAGTATGTTATAGGCCTAGTTAAGGGGAGCTTAAGTTTGGAATCCCACACCCCTAAGACCGCCACTTCCGGTTTTATGCCCTAAGTAAACAAACCCACCCCTAACTTCCGGAAGTCATTTCTCGGCCACCGATGAGCGCAGGGAGCTGAAACTTGGAGGGATGATAGGTAGTGGCAAGAAACATCTTGTAATATAATTTGAACCAAATCCAGCGGCTGAACCGGAAGCTATTAGCATATGGAAAAACACCCCCTTAGACAGGAAGTAGGCAATTTACGCAAAATAGTAATGTGCGAGGGCATATCGATTTTACGGCGGCATCAGATAATACAACTCATCCCCGAAAAAGACCCCCAGTGATTGAAACCCCTCCGGTAACTCCTTCCGGTGTTATTAGCCTTTCCCCGGGAAAAGTGATAATGGACCTTAGAAATGGGATAACTTTGGAAGTACTAACGGGATATGGATGAAACTGGTAGGTAGGACCCCTATGGGATTCTAAACCTGAATGTGGAAGATTGACGCCGGGTGACCCCGGGGTGACCTCAAATTGACCTTTGGGCTTTTTTACCCCCCAAATTGCATGAAAAACCCCAAGATTAACACCGGAAAGTGGCGCATTCCCCAGCCCAACCCCTGGAAATGAGAATGGGTCATCTTGCTAAAAACTGGGAGGGAAACTTATATATTGGGAACTAGAGAAGAAGCTGATAGAGATTTAGCTTTTACATTGCAACCTTGGAGTAGGAGTGTTTATTCAAAGTGGATTTGTAAACATTGGGTTCAGTTTAGCTTGGCGAATGATCTATTAAAAGCAATTCAACTAGACTAAAGAAAAGTAGTCCCAGAGCAATCTGATAGAAATAGGACTGCGGCATGAGAGTTAAGTTTCCTAAATAGTATGAATGGACGGGGAATTTACTTGGCTTCCCGGAGGTGACTTTGTGGTTTAATTTGACCCCTAGTAGACCAACTACGTTCCCCTAATAGCTAGAAGGTCGTGATTGGAATAGACAACAGATAGAATTTTTAGATGCCTGACTTGAATTAGCTACCCAGGAAAAGGGTCTCCCCCTACCCTTGGGAGGTCGGAACGTTAACGGGATAATTAAAGTAAAGACCTTGGGAGGATTACTGAGTAAAAATAGCATGGTTTGGAGTTTGAGTTGAACTCGAGAGCTCAAGTTCACTGAGTTCAGGAATTAGTTGATTAGAATCGTATGACGTTTGTTTGCTTGGTCAAATTATGACAGCTACCGTATCTAATAAGCGTGAAAAGATTGATAAAAGAAACCGAAATTGGCACGTGGCAGAGTTGACAGGAGGAGGGATATAGTCTTAAAACATGTGCGGACGGGTGATTTAGGCGGATGTCAGGACTGATAGGGAATAGCGTATTTTAAATAAAACTAAGTGCAAAGAAAGATAAAGAACTGGAGGGCACCGGAGAGCCTTTAAGAGTCAGAACAGTGTTAGCTACAATTAATAAAAGTTTATTCTTGTCAGATAGAATGTTTGCCAGCGAATCGAAGAGTTGGTTCTCAGTTAGTTAGAGAACAATTTGGGCTACAAGCTAAGGTAGTGGCTTGATTCTCAAAATAAAGTGAGAACGAGTTGGAAGACTTGTTAATGTGAATGTAGATTAGTTAGTGAATGTTAGTTAGGCTATCTAGAGGATAGCAGAATCATTGTTGAACGATTGATATTCAAAGAAGTTCTTGAGGAGAACGTTAGTTAGTAGTAAGGTGTTAATTGAACTGCAGGAGGCAGTTGGTTTAAATAATAGTACTCGCGAAACCTTTTCTTTAATCGAATGATTAATTTATATTTCAGCCAATCATAGGCTACACTGTATTTGGTTATATTCATTTCTTATTTCATTCTTATTATTGGAATTGTTGTTGCGATCGAATTTTGATTGACGGGTGAGATACAGTCGGAAGAGAGCACGAATCACGGGGCGAGCAGCAAAGAAGAGTACGGAGCAGCCAACCACCAAATCAACCCTTTTATGATTGTAAACAGTACTGGGAATCGGTTGCCCCGCTGACCTCAGTACCAAAGAGAAGATATTGCGACGGTGTGAAATAGCGAGCAAGACAGGCCTAGAGATATTGTGAATTCCCCCACGTTTACAGACATTTATTTTAGGTTTCTAAACAAAAACCTAAACAAAATCAAGAAAGAAAATTAAAACCAATCTCGAATTCAAGAACTTGTTTTCCATTTCGTTGTCGCAACACAATAAACAGCTGCAACCGAATGTGTAATTTTTTAAATTCATTCCTCATGATTTTTTGTACTCTGAATTTTTTTTTTGATATTGCCCATATCAACATCAATTGTATCATAGTTCATCTTAAACAGGTCAAATGAAGCACTGTTATGCGTTTCAAAAAGCAGTTGGGTTCACCATTTTTCATTTATTCAAGTCAGTCACCTCATAGAACCAGGAAACTTGTCATCTGGCGGGATTTACCAAAACTTGAACTAAGAGTTGTTTAGATATATATGCACAAAATTAGCATATAAAAAATATGCACACCATTCGTTTACAGTCAAATACGATTTATGCGGTCGTGCTATCGTTATGTGTTAGAATAAGATCTCGTATTTATGCTCAAGGTCATTGTCATAATTGATGTTGACTGGTGTTTGGCCAAACTATGTTACTTCACACAATATTTAGTTGTAGTTACGCTCTGATCTGAAACAGTTTGACAAGACTGAATTAACATTAATGGCACATGATATTTATTGAGTTAAAGGAATTAGCAGTTGATTCCTTTAAGTAAATTATTTCATCACAGCCGTAGAATACGCTTACTTCAGATTATCGGGATCGAATATTATGATTACTTACATACATCACATACGACTGGCGCAGCCAGTAGTATTTAAGAACCCGCTGAGCATCCCATTAATCTGGCATCGAGCATCAGCAGAGCCACTACTTGGATGAACAGATTGGTCTGCTATCGCAGAAATGGAGAAGGATGGAATGAAGGTCAGTAAAAACCTCCTTTAAATAAAGAGATAAATAGTCATTCGTAAAAGCGACAAAACCAGAAAACAAAAAACTAACGGAAAATCAGTGGCATAAAGAAGAAGAAAACGAGATATCAAAAAAAGAGAGAAAAATTTAGCCGGAAAAACAAGGTGATTATAGCAAGGAAGAAGAGTGTGCTCTGCGAATCATTTTCCTCATGAGAAGATGACACAAAAACCAA